TCGGTTTGGAGACAATGTCCTCCGCAGTTTTAGCTATCTGGCGAACTTGTCTGTCTGTCCTCACTGGTGACAGTGACAGGCTTAGTGGCAGGTCTCTGGGCCTTCTTGCCAGTTGCATGCACTGAGCAGTTGATATGTTGGCAGACAGAACTGATTCTTGGATGCTTGTCTGAACCTCTACAGGTCTCCTTTTGGCAGAATCGAGTGTGACTGTTATCCTTTACCCATTAAGCTATCATTATGGCTTCCTTATCTTTATTTCTTCAGCAAACATGCCTTTGAAAGTGGTTGGCTCTTTCTGGCAGTTTACTTGATAATGTACAAGAGCGGAAGGCATGTGTCTTATTTCTAAATTATAGTGTATTTCTTCAAAGGCAAAGGGGAGACCTAAGTGAAGATTTGTCATAAGTTGACAGCTCTGATAGATTTATTTTGATTATTAATATGGAATTCTTTCCTAAGATTTTGGTTTATAATCTCCTATGAAAACATATTTAAATGCCTCTGCTTAGCTAAAAAAAAACCCCACAAAAAACCAGTTCCTCTTTGAGCCTGATGTATTGCATACCATCAACTTTTTCTCATCACTATCAATTGTATGGATGTGTGCATTAGAGGAAAACTGGAATCATTTGTAGTTTGGATGTTCTTTAGCCAAGGTTGGAGGAGACATATTTAAAGAAAGGTAGGTGCCTGTGATTGCCATATATGGAGTCTTTTCAAAGCCCAATCTGATTTACTCTATGTTGGAGCAATCTTTAGCTGCTAAGAACATAGATAATACTTAATAATTATCTCCTCTGTGACAAGGCTGTTTCTGTGCTCCTCTATTGGGCTGTCAAAGCTAAATTTAATCTATTGACTTACATCATGTAAAATATTTAAAAATTACTTATTATTCATTGGATGTGATTCTGTTTGAAGCGTCAGTAGTGTTTTAAAGTTCTGTGAACAGAAGAAGGACTATGAAAGTAGGGTCCAAACAGCAGCCTCAGCTGCCTCATGGTAGCATGCAGTCACCTGCAGGACACATAGCCAGACATGGGGTCAGACAATTTAGGACAGTTTTAGTGTAATAGGGGTTTCCCTGCTAAAGAAGCCTCCTTGTGAACAGGGTAGGAAAAAAAATCCTGTTTGTGCTCTTGATTCATTAAAATGATGCCATTCACTCACTCTGTATATCAATAATGTTTTAATTCACTCTACAGTGACAATACAAAAATCCAGTTAAATTTTTATTTTCATTAAAAAGGGAATTTTTAAAGTTGTGATTGGCCATGAAGTCTTGTAGAGAAATATAATTACCTTAATCCAGGGTAAAACAGAAAATTCACTATTAAAATAGCTTTATTAACGGTGGCTTTCTAAATTGTAGTATCTAACTTACTCAATTATTTATATTTCTTTTATGTGTTGCTTTAATCTTCAAGGATAATTGAAGATCATTACTGTTTTAATTCTATAAAAAATTGTTATTTAAACTAATGAGGTAGTGGATGTGTAGCTGCGTGACTACTGGTCTAGGACTGAGAAAACCTGAATTCTAGTTCTGAGACTATTTTTCTCTGATTTTATTAATGAGTCATTTAGTCCTTCCGTGAGCCTGTTTTCCATCAATAAAAGTACATAATGAGACTTCTGATACAAAGAAAATCGCATAGACTTGTTCCCCTTTGCTTTTCCTTGTAATGTATAAAGTTCAGAAATAACACAAGAGACAGTGAGAACTCTGAAAAGTGGAAAAAAGAAGTCTATCTGGTGTAGGACCTAAAACTGACAGAAACAGCAGCAAGGGTGGCTTACACCCTTCCCACCCAACAGAATAAGGGGACTTAGGCCTGGTGTTTCTTGCCCTCCATTCTTCCCCTAAATCTAATGGGAGTCCTGCCAACGATAGTAGATGAGCCCAGCAAAACTGGCAGAAAAGATTGGAAGCCCTAATAATAATAAGTGGCCACCAGGACAGGGCTTTTTCTGCCTTCCATGCAGGGAAGGTGGGTGCCCGGGAGGAGTCACGGCACAACCAGCCTGGCCTGGGAAGCAGTCTTCATCTGTAAAGGTCAGAGGCTCCCCTTCTCCCAGAGGCACACAGGGGGCCTAACCATGGGAAAACCCCTCCCCCCTCAAGCAACACTGGCTAAGAACCTACTAAATTCCTACCTCAAGAAACTAGAAAAAGAAGAGCAAAATAAACTCAAAGCATAAAAAATAAGGGAGAATAAAGATGACAGCAGAAATCAATGAAATTGAAAATAGAGAAAAAACAAATCAATGAAACAAAAGCTTTTATTTTTTATTTATTTTTTTTAAAATATGTTTTATTGATTTTCTACAGAGAGGAAGGGAGAGGGATAGAGGGTTAGAAAC